ATATATATATATATATATATATATATATTTAAATTTTTAAATTTTTTTTATTAAATTATTTAATATATACATTAACTTATAATAGAAATAAACAATTTATATAGTAAAATGTTCGTAAAAAAATAATTCAAACATATGAAATAGTATTTAATTATATTAAATTTATAGTTAAACAAGCAATAGAATAATAAATAGAGGAAATTTTGAAAAAAATAGTCTTAAGAAATACAGATATAATAAATTATGAATTCGTATATCAAAGTTTTTTTAAAAAATAAAATATTATAAATAAAAAAATAAAATATTATAAATAAAAAAAATAAAATTAAATATTATAAATAAAAATAACAATAAAAGCTTTCTTAAATAATTCATAGTATTTATAATCTCATAAAAAATTTAGAAATATGTAAAAATTTGTAACATTTGAATCTAATTAAAATAATATTCTTTTTATTTTATTAAAACTTTTAATATAAGAGGATTTTGGTTACAAATTTTATATTATTTTATAAGGAAATATTAATTTATACATAAATACTAATAATTCTACAGCCGGAAATATACAAAAAATTTAGCAGAAATTTAAAATAAGGAGTTTTTTTTAGAATTTAGGTTTATTTTTTAATTCTTTAAGGGAACTCAACATTATTATAATGAAAAAACAGATATAATTAATTATTTTATTTAAAAAAATTATTATTAATTATACCCTAAAACATAAAAATAAAGAAAAATTCTTAATAGTTTTTATAAATTTTCAATGATTATATTTTAAGTTATTTTAAGTTTGACTAAGAAAATTTAAATTATTTCTAAAAGTGAAATTAAGGCGTTTAATGTAGGAAATATAATATTTAATAAAATTAAAATGTATATATATTATTTTAATTAGATAGTTAAAAGTATAAATATTAAATGCTTATATAGATTAATAAATTCATAAATATTTTGGAAAATAACTTGTTTAATTTTTGGAAAAGAGATACTTTTTTAGATTAAAAATGTTAAGAATTCGAAGATAGAAATAAACTAAATAAGATTTTTATTTAATACTTAATTTAAGTAATAAACTTTTTTTTTTCAGATTTTTAAATTTTTAATAGATTAAATTATATCGCAACTGTTTTATAACCAGCTGCTATTTATGTTGAAATCATTTTAAATTTAAATAATTTAGAGATTAGAATAAGTACTATCATTATTATTTTAAATTAAGAAGGATTTATATGCAAAATTAAGAATGGAAGAAATATAAATAGACGGTTAATTAAATAATATTTAAATAGAGAAAGTTAAATAAAGAGAATTATGAAAAATCATAAATTAAAAAAGTATTTTAAAATATCTTTTACTAAATTATATGATCATAAATATATATAAATAAACATAAATATAATTATAAAGATAAAAAATAAAATATAAATAATTATTAATATATATATATTTATTTTAAATATATAATATATATTTTTAAATATATAATTATAATAAATATATTTTTTATTTTTTATATATTAATATAATTCTTTATATAAATTATTATAATTTTTTAAATTATATATTTAAGAAAATATTTATTTAAAAATACTATAAAAATATTATAAATAATTAATTATTCAAATAATAATATATTTTTTATTATATATTTATATATTATTTTTTCAATTAATTTTTTTAAATATAAGTAAAAAATACATAATATAATCAAAATTTTTATTGTTTTTTTTAAAAAAAACTATATATTTTATATTTTAAAAATAATATAAAAAAAATGAAAATATAATTACTTGACTCAAATATTCCTTTTCAAAAGCAATATTCAATATAATAACCTTTAGTAAAAATAATAAATAGATTTTATAAATATATATAATAAAATAAAATTAAAACTTAATACCCTATAACCAAATTATAAATAAAATTTATTTTTTTAAAAAAATTAAATGTATATATTATTTTATCAGTGTTTATTTTTTCTGTAATTATTTAAAAAAAAAAACTCTATCAAAAAAAAAGATCATATTCCACTTTTTTATTTCCTTTTTTTATAGTTTTTTATTAAATAAATTACAGAATAAATAAATAAAAAAATAATGTTATAAAGTAGTATACAATTAAATACTTAAAAAAAAATATAATTATTAAAAAAAAAAGTTTATTTACAACCAGGCAAACATATATGGACAACAAAATTTATATTTAGGACCATAAAAGAAATAATATTAACATCAATTAATTCCTCGAAAATTAATAGAGAATTATTCATACTAATTAACTGACTAAATCGGAAAAGGTTACAGTTCTATAGTTTTTAAAGGTAATAATGAAAAAAAGAACGATGAATAAGTAGCAATAAAAGTAATCGATATGAAAACTATGAGAAACGAAGTACAATTGTTTTTATTACAAAATGAAATATCAATCATGAAAAAATTGCAAAATTCTACAAATATTAATTTGCTTAAATTACATGACGTTATTTAAACATAAAATAATACTTATATTATTACAGAATTATGTAATTAAGGAGATTTAAAATAGCTTCTTGATAAAAACAAGTTTTTTGAGGAATAGTAAGCCCTTAAAATACTTAAACATATACTCAATGGATATAGGGAGTTGGCTAAAAATAAAATTATACATAGAGATATTAAACCAGCTAATATTTTAATTAATAATGGAATTCCGAAAATCTCAGATTTTGGATTTTCTAAAGAAATTGATGCACCTCCTTTTAAATATTTATATAATGTAGGAACTCCTATTTATATGTCTCCTTAAGTATTATTTTTCTTATTTAAAAATTAAATAAATTAATTTTAATTATTATTTTTTAGAGTTTAGATAAAAATGAATATAATTAAAAAAGTGATATTTGGGCTATAGGCGTACTTTATTATGAATTGCTATATGGAATGACTCCTTGGATAGCCGATAATGAACAGTAATTAAGGCATAAAATTAATACTATAAATGTTTAATTTCCTACTTATAGACATGTATTTTATATTTTTTTTAAGAATAAAATTATTTTTAAAATTATAGGTTTCTAATAAATCTAAAAATTTTATTTTGGATTGCCTTAAATTGGATGAGCAATAGCGTTGTGGATTAGAAGAAATAGATAAACATGCTTTATTATAAATTAACTTGAATAATAAAATTATTAGTAAGAATTTAAATAATGAATTGTAATAATAATAACAATGTATATTAGGTATATAAGATGGAAAATATAATAAAATGAATTAGTAAAATAAAAATTATACTAAATAATAAAATACAGGTAAAGAAAATTCTCCTTCAGCTAATAATAAAAAGAAAATAGAATCATAACCTATAATTTAAAGCTAAGTAAAAATATTTATTTTATTTTTATTTAATAACGTACATTAAATTTTATTTAAATTTTTATAAGAATTTAAAAAAATTGAAAAGCTTAGAAAGCTCTTTTGATAAATAAATTTAATAAAAATATAAACTACCTAAATCTTTAAATAAAAACTCATAATTATGTATAAAAAATTCCGAAAAAATGGAAAAAAAGAAAGATGAGAAATACACTCAAAACGATAAAATAATTCTTTCTTAAATTAATTTATGTCGTTTCCTATATAAAATGTTAAAATTAGCTTAACAAACTACTTTAATATAGAAAGATTTCCTTAAAGAAAAAATAATATTTTTAATATCAAAAAACTTAATGATTCATATTTAAAAATTAAATATTATGGTATTGACTAATATGAACACTTATAAATTAGATAATTGGTCTTTATATAGTAAAAGTGAGAACTATTAAATATTGTAAATAGTAATTAAGCAATATAATAAAAAATATTCTGATAGTTTCAATATAATATGGGAAAAATTAAATAAAAATGACTTGGATAAAGATTAAAAATTCAATGTCATTTTCGATGAAAATTTTGTTGAATTCGAGACTTTTTATATTATTTTGATTAGTTTTTTGAGATATAGTATTAGATAAATAAATTTTGAAATAAAAAATTTAATTACTATTGATTAAAATTTAAGTATTCCTGATGAGTATTAATAGAGTTTAGTGTTAAATGATTATCTAATTACATATTTCTAACTTACTAATCTAATGCTAGAACATTTCAAAGATTATAAGTATTTTGCTGAAAGTTCGAAAATTGAATAAATTGCATAAGGATAACCTGTTAAACTTAATAAATAGCACTTTAAACAAATATAAAATAAAATAGCTAATTTAGAAATATGAGATAAATAAAATATATAAATCAAAAATTACTAAATATTAAAAATAAAATATTTTTATTTTAATTATTATTATTATTATTATTAAAAATATAAGTAAAAATGTTAATTATAATAATTATATATATATTAATTTAAATAAAATATTTATATTATATTGTTTCTATTTAAAAAATAAAAATGTTCAATGTAAAAATAAAAAGACTATATTATAACAAATAAACTAGTTATATTAAATTTATTATAATACAAAAATGTATGTATATATATAATATAATTAATTAATATTATATATTTTTATATTATTTTTACATTTTTATGATTTCAATTTTTTTTTTTTAAATCTTCATTTTATTAATATGAGTCCTTCCACCAAGTACTTAAAATTTAGCTAAATGTTTGTGATTATTCTTATATTTATTTATTTCTTCTATTAAAATTTATCAATTTATAAGGACTATATTTATTATTAATAATTTTTAATTGTAATTCTTTAAAGTTATTATATTTTAAATTTTAAATTTTTATTTTTATTGTATTTTCTTTTTAAAGCTTTATTGCTGTTATTAATAATTATTTACTTAGTTTATATTATTTTATATCATTTAAAACTTAGTTTAAAACTTCTTAATCAAATTTATTATTTTTCAAAACTTAAGTTATCAAATTTAAATCAGAATCTTAACTTAAAAGATTTTCCGGCTACCATTTTTCAACTAAGTCTTAGTTTTTATTCGTTTTATTATTTTAGAAAGAAATATTATTATCATAATTATTATTATTTATCTAGCTGTTTTTTAACTAGTTTTAATTTTGTAAGTATTGGTCTTAACTATTTTATAATTATGTAATTTATGTAATATCTTAAGAATTTGTCTTTTTTAAATTATATTAGATTTCTAAATTAGATTATATTTAATATTCATTTTCATTTTAATTTAATTAATAATTTTGATATATTTATTAATTTTCAGATTTAGATTTCGTTAAGTCATTTCCTTAATTTCTTTATATAAAGAATTGTTCGTTACTTACATGATTATTTTATTAATTCCTTTAATTTTAAAGTTTTTGGTATATTTGTGGATTATTATATAAGTTTTCTTATTTATTTTAATAATAATAATATTTTTGCTAATCATATGGTTCGCATTATTAAACCATGGTATTTTAAATTGATAAAGGAATACTAAAAAAATAAAATATAATAGTTTATATATTTATTTATAAAATAAAATTATATTTACCTATTTTAATGCACTAGATTTTTAGGTTATTATAATTATTATTGTTAATAGTTTGCATTGTTGTTTTTATTATAAAATTAATTGTAATTAGATTACTGTAAAATATTTTAATTTATAACATTGTTATTTTTATTATTATTAGTAATATTATTTTAAAATGTATTTTCAGGCTCCTGTAAATTATTATTAATCAATCCACACTAATTAAAATTATAGTTATCCATTTAGTTTAAGTTTTAATTTTTTTAAATTAAATTAATATTATAATTCGGAATATTATTATTTTAAAAATAATACAATTATTATTATTATTAGTTATAAAAATTATACTAATCGCAGTTATTATAATCTTAAGCTTATAATTTTTGATTCATATTATTATAATTATTTATATTATTAATATTATTTATATTTTCCATATTATTAATATTATTTATATTGTTAATTTTATTAATGTTATTAAAAATATTAATATTATCAATGTTATTAATATTGTTGAAGTTATTTATATTATTAATATTATTAATATTATTGATATTATTAATATTATTAATATTATTAATGTTATTAATATTATTAATATTATTTATATTATTAATATTACTTATATTATTAATATTATTTATTTTATTAATATTATTAATGTTATTTATATTATTACCTTTATTTATATTATCAATGTTTTTGATTTCATTTATTTTATTAATGTTATTATTATTTTTTTCTTTATTACCATAATAATTGCTATTATTCAAATTAATCTATTTTTTATTAATATTATCATTATGAGAATATATTTAATACTGTTAAGAATTTTGTTTATGAACATCAAAATTATTAATTTATTCTTTCTATTGATTATTATACATGTACTAATTATTTTAATATTAATTATGAAGATAATATTAATGTTATTATTAATTATTTTATTAAATATCGTTGTTTAAAAGAATATTTTATTTTCCAGTTACTGTATTTTAGCATAACTCGCTTTATTTATACACTTATTTTTATTCCTCTGTATTAATAAAATTATCTATATTTTACGATTTTTAGATTGAGTTTTATTTTTCTAACAAATTTTAAATATATTTTTTCTTTTTAATTTACTCATATTATAAATACTCTTAGTCTTATAAATTTTATGTTTAAAAATTTACATTATTATTTTCTATTATAGTTTCATTAACAAATAAATTTTTGTTTGTGATTTAATTATTATTAAAAGATTATAATTATTGAGTATGTAAATCATTAAGAGTATCTTCATTATTAATTTACTATTATTAACTATTATATTAATTGATTTATGGAATATTTTAACTTGAAAAACTGTTATTTGTCTATATTTATGAAACTTTTTCACTTTAAAATAATTATGATTACATATTTGATTCAGTAATTTAAGGTGATTTTCTTTTTTTTGATTCTCTGGAATTATTTTGTGTTTTTTATTATTATTAATTGTCTGTTTATTAATTGATTCCGAGTAGTTTTAAAGTACAATTATATTAATCTATTTGATATGGATTCTTTAAATATTTTATAATATCATCTAAATAAAATTCAACTTTTTATTTTCTCCTTTATCTTTTTTATTTTGGTTTTAAATAATCTTCTTTTTACTAAATGTTGATATTATCTTATTCAATTTACGGTAAACAAATATTTTCGATTTTTTATAACATATTTGTACGATGTCTTTTTATTTTTAGTTTATATATATTTAATTTTTTTAATTAATATTATTAATTATTTATTATTTTAATAGAGTTAATTTTAATAAAAATATAAAAATTTCAAATAATAATATATTTATTTTATTTATATTTAAATATTCAGTTTTAATTTATTAAATTTATTTTATTATTGCTAAAATAATAATTATTGAAAAAGATATATAAATTTTAAAAAAGAATGTCTAATATATAAAATATAAACAATTAATTATATAGTTTAATAATTATCAAATTAAAAATACAAAATATTATTATTTTTTTTGATATTTTTTATTATTTTTAACTTCTTCTAAAATAAATGAAATCTATTTTTTAATTATTTTTATTATCAATATAAATATATTTAATCTTATTTTAATGTATTTATTTTAATGCATTTATTTTAATGCAATATAATGCCTATTAAAATAAATATAATACATTGAGTTAATACTAAAATAAAATATAAGATAAAAATATAATAAAAGTTAGATTATAATGTATTATATTATTTTTTAATAAATAAGTATAGTTTTATTTAAAAATAAAAAGACATTATTTATTTATATATTGGTATAAATTAAAATTAAAAAAATTATTAAGTATAATTTTTATTTTAAAAAGTATAAAATTTATTGTATAAAGTTATTAATTATAATAAAATTATATGAGAATTATATTGTTTTATTAGTATAAAATATAAAAGAATTTATTTAATTAATATGATTTAAATATTTTATATATAATAATATTTAAAAAAATAGTAAAAATTATATAAATATATATAGATATAAATAAAAATTAATTAATATTTGGATTTATATATATATATATATATATAAATATATATATATATATATATATATATATATATATATATAATAAGTAATAAT